CCGACAACTCTCGGCCAGCACAAGAAAGCCCTTATTCGGTGTCCCCGCGACCGTTTTTGCGACGCCCAGCGTGCTTGGTGGCGTTTTCTGGCCCACGGTGTTAACCCACACCTAACGAAGTCCGATCCGTGACATCCACACCTTGTTGGCACCAGATCTACAAACCCCAACACTTTCACCATCGTTTTAAGGGGTGTGTAAGTAATTTCTTACTTGAGGTTGTTGTATGCTGATATCAACTGGTTGTGTGCTTATCTGGGTATTGTTTGTTGTTGATAAGATCATGGGACCACCTCGTGATCAATAAAGTCAACATAAATAATAAAAGATTTAGAGGGAATGAGTTCAAACCATGGTGACCACCTACCTCAACATACAGATATCAAATTTTGGGTATTTCTTTTGTTGATATGTTTGTTTAGGATCATGGAAGTATGCTAGATTTATTGTAAGTTGGATGTTGCATGGGTCATGAGCATGTATTAGGGTTACGATGAGAGTTCTGACATGTTATGAAGTGAATATGAAGTGAATGAATGAGTATTAGGGTCGAAGTACCTCACTAGTTGGGAGGTGCTTCGTATGTAATCTTTAAATTTTATCTAACATTTGGTATCGGAACGTGCTTTTAAGTCTAGCCTTCAATCTACTTTTATAGCTAGCATGTGTTGTTCATGATTACATTATGTTTATCTAAACTTTGATTTGATTTATGACCCATTTCAAATTTTAAGTTATTTTGACTCTTCAATATGTTTTTTTAACAATTTTTAAATTTCAGTTGAAATGACAAAAATATCTTTAAGATTTCTAACTCTTAATCCTTCGTATAAAAAAAATCTAAAAATTGTATTAAATTAAATTATAGATTACAAATGATTGAATGAAACTCTGGTTAGATCTCTCCTCCTTGATATTTATTCGCCATGTGCAATCTTTGCCCCCGGATATTTATTTAATTTTGGGATTCATGAATCTTGACATTTTCTTTTTAATTAAATATGGATTTATGGGATTATGCAAATTCGATTTCCATATTAGATTCGTAATTGATTCTTTAACTTATTCTTTTCCATAATTGATTTGAAATGTGATGTTTAAGTTTGTTTTTAAAAGAGGGATAAAAAATTCAATTAGAATTAAAAAATCTCAATTTCCCTAATCGTATCACTGCAAACACAAACCAAATCTTACATTAACGTAATTTTATTTCTTCCAAGGACTTGATTTACTGCTTATATATTTTAGAATAGAAGGGACAAAATTGACTGAAACTCAAACACAGCTCGTTCGGTTTGAAGTTTCGGTCCATTCTCTGATTTGGTAAAAAACTGGTTTGATCCAATTAAACCGTAAACTTCCCGCCAAAATTTCCATCTTCTCCCTGCCATTTCTGTCCCTAATTATTTCTGTCTCGCGTAGTCCAATCCCGGTAAACCAAATTTTCTGAACATCTCACTGCCTTTTTTCTTTACAATCTTCCTGATTCTACGATTCACTCTTTTTTCGGTTGAATTTTTCAGTCTCCGCTTGAATTTTGCAGTAATATTCAGGTGTTTTGGCGAAAATGATTACTGAAGCGGTCGAGAATGGAGGAGGCGATATGGAAATTGATGGATTCGAACAGAAGCCCGAGAAAGTTGTGCCCGATGGGTTCGATGTTAACTATCTCAAGATTTACTACGGTGAAACCATTTATATACCCACTTTTGGTTTTGAAGAAATTTTTTGTATTTTGATCCGGCCTTCTTTCCGGTTGCAATATGAACTGTTTCATGGATTTTAGTTTGATTTTGTTCATTTTATGTTTTTCTGCTCCTGAAAGATGTGAAATATAATTGTTGCAGGAAAGCTTTTCCCGTATACTGATTTCTTCAAATGGATGTCTTATGGAAATGGTATGCCGTTGATTCTTGGAAACAGAAGCAAAAAATTATCCACCCTAACTAATATTACATATGTAACTGCTCCTGTTTTTGCTTGTAGATGGCAAGCATCCAGGCAGTGACCAATCCTATTTTGGCCGGAGAGAGTTTTCATTCACGTTGGAGAATGATATATATCTACGATACCAATCTTTCAATAACTTGTCCGAAATGGAGAATTCGATCAAGGAAAAGTGTCCGTTTAAAATTGATATTGGGCCTGTATACAGCGTGGATGTAAGTAAAATTCTTCCTTGGTGCTTTTATCATGAATCTGATATGTGTTCTCCCTGATCAATGTTGTTTGATTTATTTGGGACTTGAGTTATTTTTATTTAACTGTAGCATCGTATTCAAATGAAAGGTATCCCAAAGATGGAAATATAGAGTTGGCTACTTAATTTATTATTTGAATTTTCTAGTTGAATGAGATGAAAGTGAAAAAAAGAAAATTAATAATCATGCAACTTCTGAGCTATGAAATTTGAGGTTTGAAATAAAAGTGAGAGAGAGAAAATGAGAAATCATGATTCTTGATGATATGGTTATTAGTTTCTGCATAATTTGATTTATTTCAAGAAATCAAGGCTTTAGACATACTGCATACTTGTTTTGAATATTATTTATTTGCATGCTAGCTCCTTTTTGTTACTTCCATCTCTCTCTCTCTCATTTCAACTTTTCTGCTTCAGCTTGCAAAAAGACACGCATATGCTGGTGATAATGTATTTACTCCAGTGGAGAGAGAGCTGATTTTTGATATTGTAAGTAGATCAGTTTTTGAATATGCTCAAAATTCTAATCTAATCCAATTTGAAAGTTAACTATGAGATCATTTTCATTGAAAATATTCAGTGACACTCCTCCATGTGCAGGATATGACAGATTATGATGATGTTAGATACTGTTGTTCAGGAGCTGATGTTTGCTTGGATTGCTGGCCTTTAATGACTGCAGCTATCAAAGTGATTGATACTACCCTCCGAGGTAAGTAAATTCATCATCTGTATTTGAAAATTGATTCAATAAATGAGCAGTTTCTGTTGTAAGGTGTTCTATAAATAGGTTCCTTCTTATTTAATGAAAGATCATTGAGTTATTTTCCAAAAACCTCGTCCAAGACTGCATCAGAATGATCATAGAGAAGGTTGAGCATTGTTAGCTGACTCAAGAGAGATCACTTACTTTCTTGGGAGTTCCCCCCAACCAATGCCCAAGCTTAAGCCTAAGCCTAAGCCTATTTCTTTTCTTTCTTTCATTCAATGGGAATTAGGAAGTAGTTGTTCCATATTGAGCTCTTTAGTAAAATTACTTCTTTTTAATTTATTCCAAGTTATTACTGCAATATATTATTTTGTTTGATTATAAGAGAATTAGATAGTAGAATATGCATAAAAGGTTTTGTGCATTTTGAAATTTTTTTTATATGAAACAATTGATGTGAAATTACAAAAAGGGGAAGAACCCCAATCCAAGAGAGTTACAAAAGCCTCTCTAGAAAGAATCTCAAGGATTGTGTTTTTCCTTCTTTTTGTTGCCATCAGTCTGTGAAAGAAGATAGAATTCACATCTCCTTCATTTCAGCCACTTTGTTTTACACTTAGCCTCTACAGAGATTCTTCTTTTCTGTCTAAAGATAGAAGCTGCACTTTAATAGACTTTCTTTGGAGTGTTGATCTGGTTGAAGGTCCCCTATTTCTTGGAAAGAATCCAGCAGAGAAAGTTCCATAAGGAGGTAGTTTTTTTAGTGTTGATGCAGCCAAGTGTCTCTTTATTCCATGTCCGGATGATAGATTTAAGCTCCTTTAATTTCTGTATGAAACCATGTCCAGACATCCTCTCAAAGGAGTGTTGGATCACCAATATTCAACTATAAATTATGAATCACTATCTTATTGTCAGTCCTTTATTTCTTTACCTACTCACTGCAGCCAGTTGTATTGGCAATGCTTATCTTTATTTAAATATGTTCATACATTAAGCTTCTCACAACAATATTTAAGGGATACTCAAAATTAACCATAATGGTCCCTGTTGAATTAAAAAAGAAAATTAAAATTAACCATAATGGCACTATGACATTCTCCGATGCATCTTAGAATTGACTTTTCAGTTATATGATTAGATAGCACATGATGCTCTATCTAGGCCCATCGGATACACACTTAACATGAAAGTTGTGTTGCAGATGACTTTGGATTTAACCACATACTCTGGGTATTTAGTGGCCGACGTGGTGTTCACTGTTGGGTCTGTGATGGCAAAGCAAGAAGGTAAATGTAGCAATGATTAAATTTGTAGTTGTAAATTTTATTTGTAAAAGTTTAAAATTGAAACTATCACTGGTGCAGGTTGTCTAATGAACAGAGAGCTGCCATCGCTGAACATTTCCATTTATATCAGGTCATACTATGTTGTTATAAAATATTGGTGATGGTGAATGTTAGTGTCTTGAGTTATGAAGTTAAGTGTAGTTGATGTGCAGGGTAATGAAAACAGCCGCAAAAAAATTTCTCTAACAGGTCCTGTTCTTCATCCATTTCTCGCGTAAGTGGTGCTTTTTAATATGAAGATATGATGATTCGAAGTATCATTTTTTTCAGCTAACTTATATATTTTGTTTCAGGAGATCATACACTGAAGTTCTCAAGGATAGCTTCGAATCAACATTGCTTTGTAGTCAAAAGATTTTCTCAACTGAGGAGAGATATGAGAAAATCTTAGATATGATTCCTGATGAATGTAAGTGATTTATGTATTCATAATAGGTAAGCTCTGTCATCCTTATGATAATTTATACGGGATACTAATAAAGTTGCTCTTGTAGCCGTTACCTCAGAACTTCGGGGAAGATGGCAAGAGAACAGGCAGCCCTCTAAAAAAGATGTTAATTATGTTAGATGGGAGCAACTAAAAAGTATGCTGCAATCAGTAAAACATAAGGTACAATCAATATTTTTTCTCATACTTGCAAGAGATTACAACTCTGGAACAATTAATTGAAGAGGACTTTGTGTTGTGATTTTTCAATTTCGAAGAATTTTTGTCTAAAGTAAAATCAGTACCAAAAATAGAGTAAGAAGTGATTGCAGGGTTTTTTTTTTTTTTTAATGCTTTATTCTTTCGAACTCAACTTACCTAGGACAGTTACCTATTACACATGGTACTTTCTTTAAGGAAGAAACTATAATTTCGAGCTTGTGGAAGAAGAAATAGCTACCTTGTGTTCAAATGACTTTACACAGCTATTTTATGTCCCAAGGACTTCACCCGACGGTCAAAAGCCCCCTTCCCCCTTACTTCTCAGGTCAACATGCCTTCTTACACCTTTTGTCCTCCTATG